CAATAGCTAAAAATATATACATACAATCTTATCAAAATTAATGTTTTATACGAGATTTATACAGCAATTGCTGTTAAATTCCCCCTCTATTAACAGTTTCTTATACATGCACTGTTCCTCAGAAGAAACATGGGTAATAAATAAAGCTGGAATTCATGAACTACATATCCAGGATTAATTTTAACTTGTTTCGCAAAAGGGCAATTTGGCACATTACAATGGAGCCCAAATATGTTATAAAACTGTTAGACCCCCTGCATCATTACATAGATGATTTCCTTAAAAGTAAAACATAAAGCAAATGATATATTTTATCAAGGAAAAACATATGCATCAAAATAGATTGATTCTTACCCATAAACTAAGTTCAGATACATTTATTTTCAGGAAATGTGGTTTCATTGCCAGAATACCCTAAGCAGAAAAAATAACATAGTATACAGTTAATACTTATAGACATAAATTCAAGTACCAAAAAATTCTAAACAGGAGACTGTCAAGTATCTAAAATTGAACACACCACCAATTTTCCACATAGCATCACCGCATGCTCATTTCTATAATCAGTGATTTCAAGAAACAGCCCTATTTTATCCAAAGCTTAGGTCAGTTAGTGACTCTGTAAAGTTGAAAAAAGAATCACCATATGTAAATTCCTATGGCCAATTTTACATATTTGATTTACCTAAGAACCAAGAGGTATATAACAATTTCAGAATTTTAGACAATAGTCATACAGGAGTAAGATTTTCCTTCAGCTAAAAATTACTGACTCAGGATAAACAACAAATGAGATTTTAATGAATCAACTAAATACCTCTCCTCTGACAAATCTTAAGTCTTTCCAGGTTTATAGATTCCCAAACTGTTTTACCTATAGGGAACTAAATCTACTTCAAACTTGGCAAAAATAGGGTTAGAGATCAAAACATAAATAGTCAAACCCAAATTAAATCTTTTCAGCAGTTTCTGAATATCTGAAAACACAAAATGTGGCATGATTCAGGTTTCAAAGTGATTGACTATAAATCAATATATGCAAATTTGTATTTAAATATGTATAAACATTCTATAATCTGTAACTGTTGGCATCACTTATTTTTATATATCAAAATATATGGAATATACATAAATATGCTTAATTCATACCAAAGCATACCTCAGTGTCAAGCATCTAGCAGGGTACCTGACACACTGTAGGTGCTCAACTGCCCTCAAGAGAAAATTCTTACAAAATGTACTCAGATTTTATTCATATCCAATATTCAATTCAATAGCTCCCTGCACACACTTACCAAAAGTCATATACTTTATCCTGGGTCATACCAGTACTTGCCAAAATACACATGTAAAATATAGAATTGAGTGCACTGTCACCTTTCCTAATTACAAAGTACACTGATTTTAACAACAATATGTATTAATCCCAAAGCAGAACTCAGTTAATGATTTTTGTTGTTGAAAACACATTATCATCACACGCTAACTGCTCATTTCTGTGACTAAGTATATGCAGTATGCATTTGTCTTCAGGAAACCGGCCTATACTATCACATGTGCAGTTTAAACATAAGGAGTAACTTAGGTTTGCAAACATTGTAATGGAGATAACCATTAAAAAAGACATAACCACCTCTGGAAGTCTTTGAATGTAACAAAACTTTTATATTTAGAAAGTCATTTTGGCAAAAGTGGCAGAAGAAATTAGATGACCTTTCACCATTTGTTCTAACTCTATAAGACAGTCTCCCTATAATTTAAAGCTGTTCTTCATAATGATTTAGCAAAATATATCTTAATCATCACCTGACTTAAACCACCTGAATACATCTTACAACTAGATAAGGGATGGAAAAATCCCCCAAGTAACAGAGGGCTCAAGCCTCTGATCAAGGCAGAACGAAGAGGGGAGCTGCTGGGAGATGGCAGTAGGAGGAAAGGCATTCTGAGGGTAGAGCAGAAATAGGATAAAAAACAGAAAAGGGAAACAGCGAAGAAAACACAGAAACCTTTCTGAAAGGAACCCTGGGACCAAAACCTAGGTGACAGAAGCTGAAGAAAGAGAAAGGGCAGATTAGAGTTAGGAGGCAAGGTGCTGTGCTTTCTGATACTAACTTTTCATTGTGTTTGTTTCCTGTTTTAGAAGTGAGTACTTGAACACTGATACAGAGATGTATTCAGTAAGACACCTGAGATGGTTCCTGTAGAAACCCCTCATGAACCCCAAGCCAGTGAAAAACTGATAAACTGTCATTAATGGTTTCAAAAACAACCATGTTTAAGGAACACTTACCCAAATAATTACCAAAGAGGAAGCATAATAAGAAGTTATTAACATTGAGTTCCCAAACATCAAAACAAAACAAAGTACCAGAGAAATCTGCAAAAGTCCAAGAAAAAAATATAATTAATACAAATAAAACAAAAAACATTTATTTTTATGGTGTAAATTGCACATGCCCATGATAAACAAAATTTAAACCATCCAAAAGGCAATATACAATGAAAATAGTCCATTCTCCATCGCACACTTCAAACCCCAGAGATAACCACCATCAAGTTTCCTGTGCATCCTTCCAGATATCAAAATGTATAAATTCTAGTTTCTATTTTTTAAATGGAAACTTACCCCATAAACTCTACTATTTCTTGATTCTATTCTTAATATATTTCAGATAGCTTTTCATAATAACCCAAACCAATCTAAATCATTCTGTTTAAGAACTAAAAAAAGTATTCCATTTTCTAGATGCACCATAATTCTTTAACAGGTCCTCTGAGTACTGCTGAACACATAAGTGCTTTCCAGTTCTATTTTGTTTTGTTATGCTCTTCCTAGTACAAACACTGCTATGATAAACATCTTTATGTGTACATCTTATGTACATGTCAATGGATAAATTACTAGAAGTGGAATTGGTAGATCAAGGACGTACAAATTTTACAATTAGGAAAAATACTGAGAAATTGCCCTACAAAAAGATTATACTAATTTACTCTCCCAACAAGGCATGAAAGTTCCTGTTGATGCACATGTGGCAACACTGTGTATTATTCTTTTAAGTATTTGCCAATTTAATAGGGAAAAAATGTTATCTCATTGCTTCACTTTTCCATTCTTTTAATAGTAAATAAGACACAGAATCTCTTCTTCTATTTGCTACTTACGTTATTTTGTGTGTGTATAGGAATTGTTTATTCCTATGTCCATTTCTCTATTGGGTTTTGAGAACTCTCTTTTCCTTAAGAGCTCTCTTTATATATTATAGAACATAGCTCCTTATCAAACAAACATATTGTAAATATTTTTCCCAGTTCATTTTTTTTATCTTAGTGGTATTTTTTATCATGGTTATTTTCTAAATCTGTTATTAAATTTATCATTCATTTACTTTAGGTCCTCAGGATTTATCTACATAATTAGAAAAGGCTTTAAAACTAAATAATCCATATTTTCTTCCAAAAGCTTTATTTTTGATCTATATATAGCAATTTCCATCTGAATTTTAGAATCGGTCTATTAAGTTCCAAAAACTGAAATTTTTATTTAAAACTTTATTCAATAATGTACATTTATAGTTATCTGTCCAATATTGAATCTTTATATCCAAAAGCAATACATGTTGTTTTCATTCCTTTAAGTCTTCTTTCACATACATTAGTGAGTATAACGTTTTCTTCACATAGATCCTGCATATTTTTTAAGTTTATTTTAAAGTATATTATTTCTGTTGCTATTGTATCAGGAATCTTTTTTCATATTTTCCACCTGATTATTACCTGTATTTAGAAAAGTTATACTAAATATGCATCAATTGATACAATCTTTCATTGTTTCTAATAGGTTATTAATTCAGATTTTTCAAGCATTCAAAATCAAATCACCTATAAATAATGATACTTTTACATCTTCCTTTCCTATTTTTGAAACTCTTATTTTTTAATAAATTGTATTAGTTAATATTTCTGCAACAATTAAGTAATAAGAGAGGCAGTAGGTTATTTGTCATGCTTCTGGCATTAACAGGAATAGTTCAACTGCTTCATCATTTTGCATGATCCTAGCTTTTGGTTTGAGGTGTGTCTATATATTTAAAATTTCAAGGAAATATCCATCTGAGACAGGGAACTGGCAGATACTGCTTTGGGCATTGCTTTGGGCATTCATTAATTGTGCAGGCATTGTTTTACAAAGTTTTGAGCTACCCTGATCAAAACAGTATGGAGGCAGGGCAAGTACCAACTGGTTAGAACCAAGATGGTGGAGGTGGAGAAATTGACCACTTCTTGACCTTACAGCTTAATGATATACTTCATTACCATAAAAGTTTCTAAGAAAACCTCCCACTCCCATTATGTACCTGATGCTATGACACTTCCCGTTTGACCATATATAGTCAAAAGGAGGGCATCACCCTAATTCCAGAAAAACATTACCCTTTCGAAGAAATAACATGAATATTCCTCTCCTTGTTTAGCCTATAATTTAAGCTGTTGCTTAAATATAAGAGCAACAGGAACCATGGGGCTGGTTCTGTTCTGCAGAGAGAACTAACCTCTGCTCTGTCTGTGGAATAGACTTTCTATAGTTTCAGAATAAATTTTGCTTTCACTTTATACTGTCGGCTGGCTCCTGAATTCTTTTTTGCACAAAGCCAAGGACCCACTTGGACTTCAAGTGGCTCCCAGCATTGGGAGTCACATCTATTTTTACTTAAGGTCTTAAAAATCAGACAAAGATGTTGACTTTTATCAAATATCTTTATAACATCAAAGGAAATAATCATATTGTTGATTTTTCTTTAAATCATTTTTTTTAAGAGGCAGGGTCTGGCTCTGTTGCCCAGGCTGGAGTGCAGTGGCAGGATCATAGCTCACTGTAACCTCAAGCTCCTGGGCTCAAGCCATCCTCCTGCCTTAGCCTCTCAAGTAGCTGGGACTACAGGCATATTCCACCACACCCAGCTAATTTTTTTTCTAATTTTTCTTGTAGAGATGGGGGTCTCACAATGTTGCTCAGGCTGGTCTCAAACTCCTGGCCTCAAGCAATCCTCCTGCTTTGGCCTCCCAAAGCTGAAGGACTATAGGCATGAGCCACAATGCCTGGCCTTTAAATCTCTTAATGTGATAAATTATATTAAAAGAATTTCTAAGGTCAAAATATTCTTGCATTCCTGGAATGAAATATTTAGGTACAAGTTTAACAAAATATGTACATATCTATATGACGAAAACTACAAAACTTGAATGGAAGCAATCAAAGAAGAACTAAATACATGGAGAGTTATTCCATGTATGTACAGGAAGGAAGATTCAATATTGTCAAGATGTCAGTTCTTCCCTAATCTATAGATTCAACACAATCTCAATGATTATCCTGTCAAGTTATTTTGTGGATATTGACAAACTGATTCTAAAGTTTATATGGAGATGTAAAAGACCCAGTAGAGCCAACACAACATTGAAGAACAACAAAGTCAGAGGACTGACACTACTTTACTTCATGATTTATTATAAAGCTGCAGTAATCAAGATAGGGTGGTACTGGTGAAAGAAAAGACAAATAGATCAATGGAACAAAATACAGAGCCCAGAAATAAACCCACATAAATATAGTCAACTGATCTTTGACAAAGGAACACAGACAATGCAATGGAGCAAAGATAGTCTTCAACAAATACTGCTAGAACAACTGGGCATCCACATACAAAAAAATAAATCTAGATACACACCTTACAGCCTTCACAAAAATTAACTCAAAACAGATCATAGATCTTTATAAATGTACACCACAAAAATACAAAACTCCTTGAAGATAAGACAGGAGGAACACTAGATGATCTTAGGTATGGTGATGACTTCTTAGATATACAACCAAAGGTACGATCCATGAAAGAAACAATTGATAGGCTGTATTTAATTAAAATTGAAAACTTCTGCTCTACAAAAGACAATGTAAATAGAAGAAAACAAGCCACAGACTGAGAGAAGATATTTGCAAAAGACATCTGATAAAGGACTGTTATCCAAAATATACAAAGAATTCTTAAAACTCAACCATAAGAAAATGATCACCTCAACGAAAAAATGGGCAAAAGACGTTAACAAACAACTCATCTAAGAAGATACACAGATGGCAGGTAAGCATATGAAAAGATGTTCAACCAAATTAAAACAATGAGATACCACCATACATCTATGAGAATGGCCACAATCTGAATACTAATACCACCAGGGCTGACAAGAATGTGGAGCAGCAAGAACTCTCATTCTTTGCTGGTGGAAATGCAAAATGGTACAGTCACTTTGGAAAACAGTTTAGTAATTTCCTGAAAACTAAGCATACTCTTACCACGCCATCCAACAATCACTTTTCTTTTACCCAAATGAACTGAAAACTTATATCCACACAAAAGCCTACACATAGATGCTTATAGCAGCTTTATTTATAATTGCCCACACTTGTAATTAACCAACATTCTATTCAGTAGGTGAATGAATAAACAGTGGTACATCCACATAACCAAAACATTACTCAGCACTATAAAGAAATGAGCTGTCAAGCCATGAAAAGATTTGGAGGAAACTTAACTGCGTTTTACCAAGCGAAAGAAGCCAATGTGAAAAGGCTACATACTATACAACTCCAAATATATGACACTTTGCGAAAGGCAAAACTATGGGGACAGTAAAAAAAAATCAGCATTTACATGGGTATGAGATGGAGGGGAGGCATGAATAGGCAGAGTGCAGAGGACTTTTAGTAGCAATGAAACTACTCTATATGACACTACACTGGAGAATACATGTCATCATACATTTGTCAAAACCCACAGAATGTACAACACCGAGATTGAACCCTAACATAAACTGTGGACTTTGGGTGATTATGATGTGCCAGTGTAAGTTCAATATATTGTAGCAAATGTACCATTCTGGTGTGGAATGTCAACAGTGGGAGAGGTTGTGCGTAAGTGGGGCCAGGAAGTATATGGGAACTCTCTGTACTTTCTGCTCAATTTTACTATAAACCTAAAACTTCTCTAAAAAATAAAGTTTTTTAATTAAAAGAAAATAAGAAAAAACACAATGAGGCACCAGCTCATATCCATTAGGATGGCTACAATCACAAAAAGAGAAAATAAATGTTGGTGATTACATGGAGAAACTGGATCCCTCGTGCACTGTTGGTGGAAATGTAAAATGGTACAGTTGCTGTGAGAAGCAGTTTGACAGTTTCTAAAAAAACTAAAAATAGATTTACCATATGATCAATCCGGCAATTCCACTTCTGGGTACATAACCAAAGGAACTGAAAGCAAGGTCTCAATGAGACATTTGTATACCCATGTTCATAGCAGTATTATTTACTATAGCTAAAATGTGGGAGCAACCCAAGTATCCACGGACAGATGAATGGATAAGCAAAATGTAGGATACAAACATACACACAACGGAATATTATTTAGTCTTAAAAAGGAAGGAAATTCTGATATATGCTTCAACATGGAAAAACTTGAAGGACATTATGCTAAGTGAAATAAGCCAGTCACAAAAAGATAAATACTGTATGATTTCACTTACATGATGTACATAAGGTAGTCAAAATCATAAAGACAAAGTAGAATGGTGGTTTCCAGGGGCTGGGGAGATGGGAGAATAAGGAGTTATTATTTAATGGGCATAGAGCTTCAGTTTTGCAAGATGAGAAGAGTTCTACAGATACGTGGTGATAATGGTTGCAAAACAATATGAATGTACTTAATACCACTGAACTGTGCACTTAAAAATGCTTAACACGGGAAATTTTATGTTACATGTATTTTATCACAATAAAAAATGGAAAACATCCTTTCTGGAAACAATTTTATATATTTTTTTCTATACCGATTTATACTATAAAGATTTAGGAATTTGTAAAGTGATAATAGAAGACAGAGAATAGTCCGTAAGTCACATCATAAAGTATATATCATTTAACCAACAGAGGTTCTACACAAACTATACCTGTGTAATTTCAGTACTTTCAAGATTCTAACTTTGAGTCAAAGCCCTCAGCCACAGTTGCCTGTGAGACTACGTGACTGGCCAACTCCGAATGCTTAACATTTTAATCTGATTTGTACTACAAAATAAAAATCTATATTAAACAGTTTGGAAAAAATCAGCCAAGTGTAAAAAAAGATAATAACGTTCATTGAGTGTTAGGCAGGTGGGAGCGGGGAGTAGGGGATGGGTATATTCCCACCTAATGGGTGTGGTGCACACCGTCTGGGGGATGGACATGCTTGAAGCTTTGACTTGGGTAGGGCAAAGGCAATATATGTACCCGAAACATCTGTACCCCTGTAATATGCTGAAATAAAAAAGAGAAGAGAAGAGAAGAGAAGAGAAGAGAAGAGAAGAGAAGAGAAGAGAAGAGAAGAGAAGAGAAGAGAAGAGAAGAGAAGAGAAGAAGATAATTACCATCTAACTCATTCATAAACAGAGATGTAAAAAGCCTAACAAAATAATAGCAAACTGAATCCGGCAATATGTAAAACTTGTGTTTACCCAGAAAAGCAAGGTTTTTAATGTCAGAAAATCAATTAATGCTAATTCACCATAGTAACAGATTAAAGAGAGGAAAATACACAGAATCACTTAAACAGATGTAGAAAAGCATTTCATGAAACTTAACATGTATTAATTTCTTTTAAAAGTGCTCAAAGCACGATGAGGATGACATATTAAAAGCATAGAGAAGCCAGCTTGAATAGTTGGACAAATCTGGAACAATTTGAACATCAACATAAATAATGAAAATAATGGATTATACTGCACTGAATAAAACATGTCACTTTCTCTTGGACACGGGAAAATCTGATAAAAGATTTGAATAGGAATGTCACACACACACACACACACACCCCCACCCCCACACCCACACCTACAAAGGGCTCATAAACAAACCAAAAGATGCTTAGCTTCATTGAGGATCAGAGAAAATGCAAATTAAGGTTGTAAGATACCATTTTATATCAACCAGATTGATAAAATGAAAAAGGATGTAGAATAACATGAGCTATTATACATATTGCTGTTTGAAGTAAGACAATCATTTTGGCAAAACAATTTGGTATTTATGAAGTTGAACCTGTGTATAATTTACCACCCAGAAAGTCCACTACTAGGTAAATACTCTAGAGAAACTCTTTAACATATATGCCCTGGGAGCTATGACTAAGAATGTACAGCATTATTTATAACTGAAAAAAGAGGCTGGGAGGGGAGAAGAAAGAACCTAAATATCTGTCCTTCAACAAGAAAAGAAATGAATAAATTGAGCTTTATTTATACAATGGAAAATATAAAGCAGTGAAAATATCTGACCTCTATTAACTTACAAATCTCAGAAAACTGTGTGAAAAAATAAGCCCCATAAAAGGATACCATTTGTACAAAACTTAAAAACAATGTGAATATTTAATAATAGAGCTATGTTATTTAGGAATACATATATGGTAAAGTTATAAAGAAAAGCAAGTCAAATACTACTTAAAAAGTCAGGATAGTGGTTACTTCTTGGAGCAGTAAGGGGACGAGCTCAAAGCACACAGGACTTCAAAGTAACGATAAGGTTCTATTTTTCATTTGGAGGGTAGGCTCATGGCTGTTTATTTTATAACCGTATTCATAATTTCCCTATAAATTATAAATGTCCCCTTATATGTATCACTTATTAGAGAATAAAAAGTAATAATGGCATATTATAACAACAGAAAAAGAAAACATCAAAATTATAAAAATTAATGACAGAGAGAAGACAAGTGTTTTTAAAGGATAAACATTCACCAACATCAACAAACCAGACTTAAGGCCTTTGCTCTGTTTCTAGAATACTCTTTTCTTTGATATCTACTTGACCAACTTCCTCTTCTCCTTCTAATTGTTGCTCCACTCCCCCTTCTCAATAAGATCTGCCCCGAATGCCTCATCTGATACCTTGATCCCACCCACTGGTGTTGGTGCTCCTGATCTGCCTTACCCTGACTGTTCTTTTCTTTCTTCTATAATCCTTATTACCTTCTAACATACTACATCATTTACCCATTTGCTATTTTCTTTACTTATCTTCTGTCTTCCCTCCTTCCCCCACTCTATTAGAAAGTAAGCAACATGAATGCTGTGGTCTCCACAGTTCTAGTTAATGGTGTGTCCCACATGCTGGATAGTTGGAGCTCAGAGGATGAACATTCCACTGCATTTTAACTCCTGCCTCCTGGGTAATATAGCAGTCCATGTTCCTCTTTCATGAATTCTTTCTTTTACCCATAATGCATAAGTTGGGTACAACCACAATCAGATAATATGACCCAAATTAAAATACTGAATTTTCAGGGTGGCTTATTCTACTGACTATATCACAGTGTTTGAATGACATTTGTTTTTGTTATGAAATCATGTTACGACTAGTTTCCACCATGAACAGATTAAATATTAATCAGGAGTTTAAGGACAGATGAAATAGAAAATAATAAAATAATCATACCATGTGTATATAAATGATCTTCTGTAATTTACATATATCAATGTACCCCACAACATATACTGCAAATAATGATGCAATCTGAAATTTAAAAAGAAATTAAGTTAAAAATAAAAATCATATATGAAATTGATAACTATAAGAATGAAGAAAAGATTATCTTTATTGTTGTATCAAATTGATTTATATTTAAACAGAAATTGAGTTCTTTAGTTTTCCTTTTATCTGCCAATTTATTCTTGAATATGGTCAATATATTAATAGAAAAAATACTGGTTGATTTTTAGAGAGAGTTAAATTTTTAGAGAGAGCTATTATAAGAGAGCTTATACACAGCTCTCTCACCTATGTGAATTGTCTACTTTGTGGATTATCCAAAACAATACTCATTTTAATCTGGCTGATGCTACTGTCAACATGAACAATTAAAAAGTGCCTTGTCCAATCAAAAAATACGAAAATGTAATTACAACATGACAACTAATACAGAATTGGGATGGTACATTAAACTCAAAAATAATTATGCAATGCATGTGTGCAAAAAATACATTAATTTCTGCTTGTTAGTCACTCTTTACAAGTATCTCCATTAGTGTTCTCTTTCATTAATACAATATTCAAGCATTAATTATAATCAAATTTATCAAATTTCAAATTAGAAGGAGTACTTTCACTGCAAAGATATTTTTAGCTTTCCATTTTAAAGAAAATTAAATTGTAACTATAATGTTTGTACCCTCACAAAGCCCTGGAATAATAAAAAAAAAAAAAAAGAAAAAAAAAGAAAATTAAATGTTATATGTCAAGAACTCTAAGAATACTGGAATTATTTAGATGAATTAATTGGTTAAATGATGATAGAGTACCTCTTACATAGAGGTATTATGTCAGACAATACCTCTCCACCCTTCTTCACGAAGAAAGCAATTTAAATTAAATTCTATGCCTCTCCTACTACACAAACATAGCATAAACAAACTGCAAAACAGCTGAATACTTAAATATATAACTTAAGTTCCACTCATCAAGTTTTTTATCTCCAAGCAATCTACAACCAATTTTCCCATTAGTAAGATAAACAACAAGGTTTTCCTTTATTCAGAGTAATCCATGGGGAACACTGCATTGCTTAAGGGTGATTGATATGACACAGTAACTGTAGGGAAATATATGCTATTATTCAACATAAACCCCACAGAAAGTAATAATATCTCCCCTACCCCCCCAAAAAGCAGGCCATCTCCACTAACTGGAAGCAATGGGAATGCTCCCTTTCCACCCCAAGGGCTAAGCAATACACAGCAAACTAATGAGTTAGAATCTTAAAGAGAGAATCTCAGCAACAATTCAAACCAGAAACCGATTTAAAATGTCATCAAACTAAACTAGATAAAAGAGTCTAAAAGATAAGATCAAAGGAAGAAATAAGTGTAAATAAAGTCCATTTTTAAAAAATAGTAATAAAAATAGCTAACTTCAGTGACATCTCACTAAGTACTGGGTACTGTGTTAAGAGTCCTATATACATTACCTCATATGATCTTAAACACATCCCAATAAAGTAGGTTCTTTTATTTTCTCTATTTCAGAAATGAGCATTTTCTCCAAGTCAAGAAGTTGGTGAATAAAATTAGGACTCAAATCCAGGTCTAACTTCATTTCCCAAGCAAG